TGAATGTAGCACGCTGTGTTTATTGCCTCTGCCCAGAAAGTCTTAGCAACGTTTGTCTCATTGATCATGGTTCTGGCCATTTCTTGCAATGTTCTGTTCTTTCGTTCTACAACTCCATTTTGTTGGGGAGTTCTAGGACAAGAGAAATCATGCAGAATGCCTTTGTCATTAAAGAATGACTCAAAATCTTTATTTTCAAATTCTCCACCATGATCACTTCTGACTTTAACGATTCTAAGATCTTTTTCATTCTGAACTTGGTTACAGAAGGTAACAAACACAGAGTGTGACTCGTCCTTGTGTCTTAAGAACTTTACCCATGTCCATCTGCTATAGTCATCTACGATTACTAACCCATACTTCTTACCACTGACTGAAGCAATTTTAACTGGTCCAAATAAGTCAATGTGCAGAAGTTCTAATGGCTTAGAGGTGGAAACAACATTTTTGGATTTAAAAGAAGGTTTTGCAAATTTGCCTTTCTGACATGCTTCACACAGAGCATCTGAATTGAACTTCAAATTTGGAAGTCCTCTGACCAGATTGAGTTTGTTAATCTGAGATATTCTTCTCATACTAACATGCCCCAATCTTCTGTGCCAGATCCACTGCTCGTTGTTAACAGACAGAAGACATTTTACGTTCTGACTCTTTAGTTCAGAAAGTTTGATTTTGTAAATGTTGTTTTTCCTCTTTCCATTAAACAGGATAGTCCCATCTTTCTGACTAACAGCTTTACATGATTTTTGATTAAAGATTATATCATAACCGTTATCACTTAATTGACTTATGGATAACAGATTATGCATCAATCCATCAACAAGCAGAACATTATTAATAGAGGGAAGATTTCCATTACCTACAGTTCCAGAGCCAATTATCTTTCCCCTCTGATTGCCTCCAAAGCCAACGTGGCCTCCAGGCTTAAGTTCCAGGCTTTGGAACATATGCCTTCTTCCCGTCATGTGTCGTGAGCAGCCAGAGTCCAGGTACCATGACTGGTGTTTCTGACTTGCTGCTAAAGATATCTGCAACATGTATTATTTTATCCTTAGGTACCCAGATTTTCTTGGGTCCTGATTTGTTAGTTTTACCAAAACTCTGGTTGAATTTTGGTTTCATAGAGTGCTTACTACTAGTATATTTGATGTCATGTGTGTGACCATACACAAAGTGTGAATTTAAAGGAGTGTGTTTAATGGTTAAATCCATGACATTCTTCGGTGTAGGAACCTTACCTAGGTATCCTATTCCTTTCCTGCCGTTTCTGCTAACTCCATAGATCATTGAAGCCATTCTGCTTCTATCTATGCTTTTAGCAAGGAACTTCTGGAAACTGTGATCATACTCCTTGATGATCTCATCAGCGTTGCTGGGAGTTTCAGAAATTGGTTCCTTCTGAGAGTTTTGTAAAGAGTTTTCTAATTTTGAAATTTTATCTCTCAGCTCAGAGTTTTCCAATTTGAGACTCTCAGACTTATTAGAGTCAGATTCAAGATTCCTTTTCAGGTCTCTGAATTTAGCTCTAATCTGCTGATAACGTTCCAGAATTTCATTGAGGCTTTCAGCAAGTTCAGCCTTTGTAAAATTAACAGCGAAGTTAGGAAATACCTCTTCTGTGTCTGATTCTGAGTCTGATTCAGAAGCTTCACTATCATCTGGAATGTTAGCCATGAGCGCTATGTTTGCCCTTTCATCATCTGATTCTGAGTCAGCTTCAGACGAGTCAGAGTCATCCCATGTGGCCATGAGACTTTTCTTCTTCTCTCTTCCAAACTTCTTTTTGGGCTTTTCCCTCTGAAGCTTTGGGCAGTCACTCTTGTAGTGTCCTTGCTCATTGCACTCGTAGCAGATGATGTCTTTTGTGTTTGGCTTCTTGCTACTGGAGGAGCCTTCAGATCTTCTGTATCCAGAGGAAGAATCTGTCCTTCTGTATCTGGAAGAAGACTCGTTCTGATCAGATCTTCTGGGATTCCTGAACTTCCTTTGTCTTTGCTTCCATAGCTGATTTACTCTTCTGGAGAGAAGGGAAAGTTCGTCTTCTTCTGATGAGGATCCATCAGATGTTTCTTCAACTGCCTGCAAAACTTTAGACTCAGATTTTCTGTTAGATTTTAAAGCTAAAGGCTTACCTTGCTTCTGAGGCTCGTCAGCTTCTAGCTCTATCTCATGACTTCTGAGGGAGCTTATAAGTTCCTCCAGAGTGATTTTGTTGAGATCTTTCGCTAGCTTCAGAGCAGTAACCATAGGCCTCCACTGCTTGGGTAAACTTCTGATTATCTTCTTGACATGGTCAGTAGTAGAGTATCCTTTGTCCAGAACTTTGAGACCAGCTACCAGAATCTGGAATCTAGAGAACATAGTTTCAATGGATTCAGATTCTTCCATTTTGAACGCCTCATACTTCTGAATGAGCGCCAGAGCTTTTGTTTCTTTGACTTGAACGTTGCCCTCATGCGTCATTCTGAGAGAATCAAAGATGTTCTTAGCTGTGTCTCTGTTGGAGATCTTTTCATACTCAGTATAGGAGATGGCACTGAGGAGGATGGTTCTGGCCTTATGGTGATTCTTGAAGTCACGCTTTTGTTGATCAGTCATTGATTTTCTTTCAATCTTCTGACCAGTTGCATTCACAGGGTGCGTGTATCCATCTGTCACCATATCCCACAGATCAGCATCATGTGCTAGAAAGAAGCTTTCAATTCTGTCTTTCCAGTAATCAAAGTTTTCTCCATCAAAGACTGGAGGTTTGCCGCTGAATCTGTCTCTGTCCTCATTGTTGTCATTGCTGAAATGAGAGTTGTTTCCTGCCATTGTGTTTTTCTGACGCTGGATCTTGTACTAACACGGTTAAGTGTTTTAGCTCAGAACCAGGCGCTCTGATGCCAATTGAAGGGGTGAAAAACACAAGAAGGGGGGTTGAATTGTAAACTGAAATCTTAAAGCAATTGACAAGATATTTTTATCCTGGTTCGTTTGATCTCAAACTACTCCAGTCCACCCGTCAAGGTGATTTCGCCTCTCTCCAACGAGGTCTTAATTCACTATATTCAACTGAATATTACAGACTGCTTTAACAACTGCTAAAGCCTTCTTGATTCAAACCACAATCCGGTTTGTCAAGGCAACACTTTCTTACAAAGGTATAAAACAATGTGTGTGAATGTTTTCTACAAAACTTTATCACAACTGTGATGTATACACAAATGAAGCTTAGAAACTAGATTGCTAAACAATAATGAATATCAGAGTTTGGTTTAGCAAAACTGGTAGAGTGAAGATAATGGTTCAGCTTTGTGCGTGTAGAGATTTGGAGAGCATTAGCCATTATAATCTTCGAAGCCTTGTTTATATAGCACTTGAGAAGATGAACGTTGAATGCAATATTCTTGATTCAATGCTAATAACAAGCTTTCCTTTTTGAGCAGATCTTGTCTGGAATGAGGCCGTTGGAATTGATTAGCTTTCAATGCACAATACCGTTGCTTCTTCAATGCACGTTCTGGCTTGGCTCATTCTGATTCTGCTTCGCTGCTGATGAACTATTGTGTTTCTGTATCAGAGTGTTTACGCGCAGTTCTGTTCATCAAGCTTCAGCATGTACGAGAGTTGGTCATCTGATCTTGACGTTCTGATTCAGCAATTTCTGATGCTGGTGTATGAAATCAAATTCTGATGCTGAAGAAGTGATCTTGCTTATTTTAATCAGCGTATCTGCAAGTCAGAGCATAGTAATTTTAGGCAGCATATAGTTCAAACATGAAACATATAAATACTATATCTTTTCACTTTGTTATCATCAAAACTTAAATATAGGGTAGTAGATTCAAACATTGTTCTAACAAATTAATAGTTCGATCTCTGATTTACCCCGCTACATTTTTTATCGCTACTCTAGGGATTATGACTTACAAAAGAAAATCTCTACAGGCTAGGAATTATGATAAATAAAAGGGAACTCTTACGGGTTTAGGATAGTGAATACCTTGTACGAGTTTAGGGTAGTGAATACCATGTACGGGTTTAGGGTAGTGAATACCCTATACCGATTTTGGGATGGATATGGAAATGAGAATACCCTATGTGGGTTTAGGGACAAATAGACAAGAGGAAATTCTTACGGGTTTGTACAAGAATGTCCCTCGCGGGAAGGCTCTCTATGAAAGATGAGACATAAATAAAACATCCTATAGGAGGGATCCTACGGGAGGTTCTATGTTTTTCTATCATTCCCCGTAAGGGTGGTTTCTTTAAGGTATCATGGATAATACAAAAGGGAAAAGACACAAGGGTCTCCCTTAAGTAGGACCTCTTTATAGACCAAGGTATTTTGATCAAGTTTTAATGGATTGAAGAATAATTAATCTTCATTAAAATTAAATCGCACGGGACAAAGTAATTGATTTTTATAAGGAGTTGATCCTTATTTGAATTAAATCGCGCGGGACAAAAAAATTCATTTGATTTATTTGTAAAATTTAGAAGTTAGATTTTAAATAATTAATTGATAGACATTAAATCAGTTATTTAATTATCTGAGAATGTACATCTTATTATTTATAAAAATGTTAAAATTAATTAGATTTGAAAAATAGAATTTAATTAAGTGCAAATCTTAATTAAAAATTAAATTAAAAATCTAATTAATCTAATAATAAAAAAACCTTTTTGTATTTTGCACCTAATTATTGTTTTTTATATTTTTAATAATTTTTACTAAACAAACTAAATTGGAGGTTGAATAGATTAAGCAAAAATAAACAACAGAGGAGTGTGGATTGAGAAATTATATTAACTAAAATTCTAAGTGTAACACTAAGTTAAGATTTATAATTAAATAATATAAATAAAAAAGACAATAACAACAACTCCCAGGTTGTGAATCGATCCACCCTTTTTCTAGCATCTTCATTTGACTTTTCAAATTCATTCTCATCCAATCAATTGACAACAAGTGGCACTAATTAAAAAACAAATAAAAAACATAGAGAAACCAATATATGAGATTAAGGCCAATTTCTTCTTTATTTTATACGCCTCTTCTTCTCTCACCAAACTATGAGTTCCCCTTTCTTTTCTTCATCAAAATCAAACAATCACACCCCAGAATATTAAAAGTTTCTTTTTCAATTCTAAAACACAAAAACGAATCAATTTCAGACAAGGTTAATAATAATAAGAAAAAGAGAACATACCCATGGAAATTCTGTGGCTGAGGGCGGCGACAGGAAGGACTACGGGCGGAAGTGTGGCCGTGACGGCTGGGCTCGTGGTCCGTAGTGGGCGTCGACTTCGAACAGTGTCGGGGCAGCCGGAGTTCGCACTTAGGTGATGACCAGTTTCAATCCTCGGTGGTTGCGGTGATGCTGAGGGGTTGCGGTTGGAATCATCTACGTGAGGGTTACAGGTTGTTAGAAGAAAATTTGGGACATATGTGATTTTTGTGTTGAAACAAAATTAAACGTGATGATGATATTTGAGTGTGGTTGTTGTGTTGGGCTGTTGTTGGTGGATCCGTGATGTCGGAAGTGGCAAAATTAGTGTTGCTGTCATATTTCTGAACCTTCTTTGTTTTCCTTTATTTTTGTCTCATGTCGAAGAATATGTCCACTGTGTATTGTTGTTTGAAGGACAAAAATGTAGCACTTGTTTGAAATTGGTGTAATGGTGAAAAAAAGAGTTATCGAATGATTTTTATGTTTTGAAGAACTTAGGAAAAACGGGTACGGATCTATGGATCCTACAAACCAGTGTTGATATCACCATGTCTTTATGGCGTTAGAAATTTTTAAATGAAAGAATGAAAAGCCAATGGAAAAAACATGACAGGTTATCATCAGAGAAGTAACTAATAAGAATTGTGAAAAGTAGTTACTCTATTTTCACCATCATGTGATCGATACAAAGTATAGAAAGAAATAAATCAGAATTGTTAAATAAATAAGGGTGTTCAAATCCAAATCAATCTAAATAAAAAACCGAAAACCGATCTAAAAAACCGAAAATCATAAAAAATTGAAATTTATTAGATGTGTTTGGATGTTATTTTGTGAAAACCGATCAGCTCGGATTCGGATTAATTTTTCAAAATCGATCCAAACCAAACCAAACCGCATACATATATTTTTATACTTATTTACTTTTTATTAGTATGATATGCTATGTGAAATTATTATTAGATGATAATAATTTTTTTAATAATAGTTATTAGTTTGGTATAATTTATTTATTTTTATTATTTCAATCATAATCAACCACTCTCATTTTGTAATATTAACTTTTAATATACTATATGTTATATATTTTATCAAATCTATGATTTATTTGTAGTTTTATAATATTAATAAAAATATAATGTGTAATTTGGATATCCAAAAACTGATCCAAATTAAATCGCATAAAATTGGATCGGATCGGATTAGATTTTTTTAATATATCATCCAAAACCGAACCGAACCGCAAGTAAATTTATTTTTGGATCGGATGATTTTTCATCTTAAAACTGATCCAAACCGAACCGCGAACACCCCTAATAAAAACAGTGATTGAAAGTATCTATGGTAGAAAGTGGTGGATAAAAAAATCTTTGATTTTTTGGAGATCATTAAGGATTATTGATTTATATATAAAAACTGGGTGCAAGTTAATTTTTTTTTTTTGCAAATAATAAAAAAACTATTAGATAATTATCATCATATGATTTTGATAATAAACTAATTAAAATTATAAAATAGAAAAGATAAAATTGAAATAAAGGAGTGGCCTCGTACCGAAGTTTTAATTATTGGCCAAAAAAAAAGAAAAATGGTTTTGAAAAAGAAATTGCAAAAGAGAGTTTGAATGAAGTGTGTGTAAGAAATTATAAAATTCGTGGATGTTGTGTGTGAAATTGTGGATAAAAGCTGATCTGGACTGGGCATGCGCTTGCCCCACGGTTGGGTGGCTCAACCCAACACCCTTGTATAAGGCCTAAAGGCAAGCAGCCCAAGCTAGAGACTGTTGGGTAACTCCCCACGCACCCGTTGGGAAAAGTGGCCCACGTGTCCGCGTCACTGTCATCTTAACCGCCCTCAGGAAATCACGGGTTCAACCCCTAATCTCACGGAGCAGTTGACCAGGGGGAGTCCACTTGCTGTACTCCATACACACGTAAGCCCTATCAGTCTTTCTTATTGAGCCTTATCATGACCCAACAATGGGGACCTTGGCCCAACGCTGGGAGCTATAAATACCCTCTCATTTGAGAGGGTCAGGTATTCATTCTTATGCTCATACTCACACTTACTTGCACTCTCCCTGAAACTTACTTTGGCATCGAATTGTCTTGCAGGTACCCCCCCCCCCCCCCCCTCCATCTCGCTTTTAACCTCAGCTCGACGTCAGGCCTTGGCGATCACTCTGGTCATGTAAGATCAGTGCGCCGTCTATGGAAAACTAGATTCCCCGTCTTCATTTACCTAAGACAAAAGCAACTCCAAATTCTCAATTGTCATGACCGACCCAGTTGCCAATAATATCTTGGATGCCCATCTCGCCGACCCCAACAACAATGTCGTCCAACACATGGGCAACAACAACAACAACAATGGGAACGACAGCGACATGGTCGATCTCATGCAGAATTATAGAGACGGCATGACTACCTCTTCCTCATCACGCACTCGACCACACGAGGGAACACATTTGCCCCAAAATTATGAGCCGAACGCTTTCCAGGAAGTCCTCGTCCCTCCGAGCGCTGATGCCACGACCCGAGCCCTATTCGCAGCAATTAACTAGACGAGTTACATAATCTTCGCGCAAGGTGAGCGGCTAAGGGTGCTCGAGGACTCTCGTTGATCCCCATAAGACATAAAAGGCCCGACACACCTCCTCCTTGTCAGTCAGGATGAAGACCGTCTTCAATCTCCCCCACAGATACACAAACAAGAGAGGTCGTGAAGCCCCCCTCCTCCTTGTTAGGATGAAGACTGTCTTAAATCTCCCCCGCAGAGACACAGACAGGACAGGTCGCAGGGTCTATCTCCCTGACAAACTGGCAGACGCCTCGAGCTAGAGAGAACCATGCCCGAGGCTACCGGGAGGCGCGACCTCACCCCCCCCCACGTGCGCAGGGAATAACGATCCCCTGGAAATAGAAACAGGGTCCATGTAGTAGCACATCCTCGACCAAGGGATCATCCCTGAGGCCAAGGACACAACTACGACCACCGATACAATCGGTCTCCTTCCCACTCCCCCTACAGGAGAGACAAAAACGATCCCCGCAGTCCTTTATCACAAGCAATCGCGGAGGCATCCATTCTTAAAGGAATGGACAAGCCTTCCCAACTGAAGGAGTATGATGGCATTTCCGACCTAGTCGACCATATCGACGGGTTCGAAGAAATGCTCCACTATCATAACATCGGGGGACCAATCACGTGTCGGTTGTTCCCCACGACCTTGAGGAAAACTGCGATGGACTGGTATAAAAATATCCCCCCAGGGTCGATCACATCCTGGAGGAACTTGAAAAACCAATTTATCAGCTCCTTTACAGTGTCTCGTCGACACCCGAAGATTGAGGCCGCCCTCGAGGCTATCGTCCAAAGAAGTGACGAGACCCTCAGGGAGGTCATAGATAAGTTCAATCGCGAGGCCATTCAGATCTCCTATACCGATCACATGAAATGGTATATGTGATTGGTGGATCTGGAACTGACTGTTTAACGCTGGTTTCGCGAAATGTCGCGGTAAGCAAGAGTCGCCACCGTCTTTTATGTTCTCCAACATGGACAGGACAAAAGCACAGCAAAATTCCTTATGAGATATGTTTCTCGGTTCGGGAGGTAGATTTATAGAAAGGGAAGGTGTTAGCACCCTTTCTATCCATGGTTATCCATGGGCTCTTAGATACTTGCTCATTTGTGTTTTCAAAATGTTTGTTTGCTTTTAAAATGTGAGTGGGTTTGAAAAAGTTTCGTTTAAAGATTTCAGATCGACTCTTGTATCAGTCCTCAAGAGTGTTTGAAAAATTGTTTTTTTTGAAAGCTTTTTGAAAAGTGTCGGTGTGAAAAGAGTTTTTGATTTGTTTTGAATTAGAGCAAGCATCTATGAGTCATCTACCTACCCTAAGGAATTAGGCTGTGTAAATGTCCTTAAGGTAGTGCCATCCCACCATTGAGAGATAGGTAGCACCACCGTTGGAGGTGTTCGCGTCAATTCGTTTTTAGGGACAATGTGGTCACCAGAGCAACAGTAGGACACCTTAGAAGCTACCCTTATGCCATTGATCCTTTTTAATTCCGAGGCAACCGTTTCGAGGCAACTGAATCATGTCATGGACATAAGGACTTACTAAAACGTCCTATACTCGACGACCACGTTTCGAGGGCAAGGCAACAGTGAGGCGTACCCTAAGAGTGGTGTGTGAATTTGTGTATTGTTTTCAGTTATGTTTTATCTTGTCATGCATTATGGTGATCTATGCTTTGTTTTTATTTTTGGCATTCATTCTTTCATGTGGTTATTAACAGTTAAAAGGTGCGGAAATATAAAAGTCCTACGCTATTACAAAGGCGCGGGTCTACATCGCCAAATTAAACCAAGACCCGATTTAAATAAAACACAGAAAATAAATGTCCTAATTAATCTATTACAAGGCTTTGGGGCAATTACATGAACTTTAAAAAAGGAAATAAAAGTAAATGTGCGAAAAGAAATAAAATCGGGAATGCGAGGGCGTTGGACCCTTTTAAAGAAGTTAAATCGAAATCATAAATTAATTAAATTAAATAAAAGCAAGAGCTTATTTTTTGGAGTTTTTGTATTTATGGAATTTAATGAGAAAATTAATTGGAATTAAAAGTTAAATAAAACTATTTTTAATTTATTAAAAAAAATGTTTAAGTTGTAACCTAATTTAACTCTAATTAATTAAATGGCATATTTATTTACAAAAATGATTAATAATTAAATATGGTGAAAAAGAAAAAGGAATAAAAGTATAAAAAACCCTAATTTCTACATTTTTTAGTTTATTTAAAAAAAGCATTAAAATTAAACCTAAAATTAAAACTAAGTTAATTATTAAATTTATTTACAAAATAAAACATTAGTGAACTAAATAATAAAATATATTTTTATTTTTTGACTTTCTGATTTTTTTGTATTTTTATGTTGTTAAAATTAATTTTATGAATTAAAAGAAAATAATTAAAACAAATAAAATAAA